GGGGCCCCCTGGCGGCGCCTCCAGCGCCGCCCTTGGGGGGTCCAGCGCCGATCCGAGAAACCCGCACAGACCATTGAGTTTTTATGTTTATGTCGCTGTTTGTTCCCAACCCTCCTATGGTTGGGCACTCGTTTTGAATAAAGCAGTGTGGTCGCCCCGGCCTCCTTCTTCTCCTCCCCCCTCCTCCTCTCCTGTTTCCTGTGTTCCCCTCTCCTCTGCTCTCGTGCCGTCGGGCTGCGATCTGCGCAACTGTCGCCACTTTCGTGGGCTCCTGGGAGGCCCAGCGGAGGTACGTCCCACGCGGATCACCTCGGGACCTCGCAGTGCTTTGGGGGCTGCGATCTGCGCAATTGTCGCCACTTTCGTGGGCGCCTGGGAGGCCCAGCGGAGGTACGTCCCACGCGGATCACCTCGGGACCTCGCGGTGCTTTGGGGGGGCTTACGATCTTCGCAATTGTCGCCACTTTCGTGGGCTCCTGGGAGGCCCAGCGGAGGTACGTCCCACGTGGATCATTAGGAGGTACGTCATACGCGTTTCTTTCAACGCCCCTGTGTTTCCATTTTGTATAGTTGCCGTTCCTCTTCTTGATGCGCTCTTCTGAAATCACTGTTGGGTGCTCTTCTTGCGCACTGCGGGTCCTTCAGAATGCCAGTCAGCATTGAGTGGTCCTGAGTATAATCGCCACATGTATAGAAAGGGTTTGGTACGTCACAGGGTAGTTCCCCTGCTTCCTCCGTGTTGGAAGGCTGCCCAGAGGTGACAGTGGCCCGAGGTGGCCGCACGAAGGCCCTGTGGTAGCCTCCAGGGCACCTCCCACGAGGCACTCTGCGGGGCCCCCGAGAGCTCCCAGAGGGCTCCTCCGATTCGATTCGATTTCGATGGCCTCCGATTCCGATTCGATTCGACGTCGGATTCCGATATGGGCTCCGATTCCTCAATGGAGGCCTACCAGCCTGCCGAGCACTTCCGATTCGACTTCTCCTGACTTGCCTGCCGATGTCCGCCAATCCGATTCATTTCGATCGCCGATCCGACTTGTCGATTCGATTCTGGGCTCTCCTGCTCAGTGGGCCCGGATCACCTCTGGCAACCTCCGACCGCTCTGGATGTCAACTTCTTTTTGCACTGTCACTGCTCTTTGAGCCCCTCCGGGGAAGGAAGGACCTCTGGCAACGGCCGGGGAGAGCAGCCCCTGTGGGATCGGGGGAGGGGCCTGCGCGAGCCCGCGCGTGCGATGCCCTCCCGCACCTGGGGTTCTCGCCCGGGTCGCAGCCCTCCAGGATCGGAGAGCCGCAACTGCACCCGAAGAAGACACTTGCACAACTGTAAGCTTCGGGAGCTCCGCGCGGATCTCGTGGCTCGGCGCCGGGGAAGGGGGTTCAGCGCAGATCCAAGACATCCGGGCGGACCGTCAAACGTTTCTGTTTATGCAGCTTGTTTCTTCGATGAAGGGGCAACGTTAGGAGGACTGGGGAACGGTTTCAGGTGCTTCCGTGCGTTCCCGGCGGCTTTGCAGCCTCGATTTTCCAGCTTCGGCCAGTTTCAAGTAGTTGCGCCTCGCCGAGGGCGTTCCGGGGGTGCCCGGATCGTCCCGAACGGCCGTTGGAGGCCCGAGTTATGGCCCGACAACCAGCGGGGACGGGGATGGGCTCGCCCGATAGCCCCCCCCGACTTCCGTTGATCGCCGATAGGGGCCCGACAGCCCCCCCCCGCCTTGTATCGGGGGCATATCGCCGATCTACCGGCGACGTATCGCCGATTCCAGGTCGATCTTTCCCCCCCTGAGCCAGTCCCCACCGAACGTTCCCCCTCAGCAGAGTGCACCAAAGCAGAATTGTGGCCAGATCCCTCGGTTTGCACAAACGGGAGTGTAATATTCCTCCTCCGTGTCCTTCTTTTCTTCCTCCTCTCCACCTCCTCCTCCACCTCCTCCTCCTCATCCTCCTCATCCTCCTCCTCCTCCTCCTCCTCCTCCTCCTCCTCCTCCTCTGTTCTGTCAGGGACGCGCCCTGTATTTTGTTGCACCCGCCCTCTCCAGACAGGAAGTGTGGGAGAAGAATGGGGGCGGCGTTCCGAAGCGAGGGCAGGATCTCGAAAGCTGTCCGACTTACGTCCACGTGGAGCGTTCCAGAAATGGCCCCTGCTTCGAGGATCGAAGGAGTTGCCATTCCTACCTCCGCCGAAGGCGGCGGAAGCCCACGGCAGTAAAACGAGAGTGCTCCGTCTTACGTCCACGTGAGTGACGCAGGAAAATTGGCTTCTCCTCACCGACATTGGCGCGTAGGCGGCCCGCGTAAGCCACCGCGCAAGGTCGTTATGTCATCTCGTGCCAGACCCGTTTCTGATCGTCGCTCACGCGTGCATAGCTTTCGACACCCTCCGCTTCCGATAGCGAGGCGCGGGAACAGGGCTCCAGAAAGGAGCGGCCGAATTACACCCGTGTAAATTAGGGGGCCACATGCAAACCCTACACCCACCTCTCACGATTTCTGAGGGGAGGGTGGGGTTCACTTCGCTCGGGAGCTCCCTAACGAAGTGAACCCCACCCTCCCCCTCAGAAATCGTGGGGGGTAGGGGTAGGGTTCGCATGTGGTCCCCTATAAATGTTAGAAGCCTCGAGCTTCAGGACCAGACGGTCCGAGGAAGCGTCCGGCGAGGGCGGGATGCTGAAACGGGGCCGCCCCCCCATCCGTGAAGTTACTGGACAATTCCGGCACTGGAGTAACGGAGCCTGCGGGAGCCCCGGGCAGGAGCCGGAGTGTGAAACCGCCCACGTTCCAGTCGTGGAGTGGTTCGGAAGTCTGAGAACTGTGGGGGGGCAAACAATTTCTCTTCGCAGTGAGTTGTCCACTCCACTGCTCGCGCAAACATCCCACCCACCCACCCGCAGCTTGGCTTGCAAAATCTCTTAAGACCGTGACGGTGGGTACCAAATGGCACTTGGCAACGGCAGCGACGCCGACGACGACGGGGGCAAACAATCCTCTTGGGGCTCAGGCGGGATCTTTCTCCCAAGTGCCACACGCGCCTCGCCCTTGCAGCGCTCGGGACGTCAAGTTCTCAGGGGTGAAACTGCGTAGCGACAGGTCAATTCAGAGCCAGATGTTGAAACCTACCCGCCATCCACCCATGCAACCGAGCGGGCACTTCCAGATCTGGGGTCGTAGAGACGTGAGGAGGTATTCAAAGCGAGACGCCCAGGCCGTCCTCGACCGACACGTCTGGAGGTGCAGCGGGGAGGAGTTGCTCTTTATCTTTCATGGAAGGGGCATGGAGCTGAGCTGCAGCAGGGCGGGGGAGGGGGAGCACAGGTCCTCCGCCGCGCTCGAGGCAGGCGTGGCCGCCAAGGGAGACGGCCATGCAGTGCAGGAGTTCCTCAAGGCAAAGAAGTCGTGGGCGGGCGTGGTGATGGACAACATCGGGGTGTTCTCCGGCTTGAAGATCCAGCAGGGCTTCCCCAAGGCGGCTTTCTGGGAGCGAAAGTGCCCAATCCACGTCCTCGAGCATGGCACGAAATCCGACGCCGAGGTGTATTCGGCAGCGTACAACGAGTGCACCGGGATCTCTGACGTCGTGTACTATCAGGTATATGCCGATCGCTTCAAGAAAGGGGGTGGGCGAGGTGCTGGTTGGAGTAACGACGCAGAGTTGGTCGACCTCATGACTGAATTGGGCAAGAAGCCCACCGAGTATGCAACTGTTGTTGACTACCAGGGTTGCGGCCTTTTTGGACTGGATCGTGGGCACCAGGCGCCAGTCGCCAGCTTCAATTCCGACGAGGAAGCGGCCAGTATGACCAACACACCGACCAATCTCTCCCCGCAGAACGGCTACCTCAACCAGCAAGTGTGGAAGTTTGTGGAGATGGAGATGAGGTTCAAGAGTGAAGCAGCCGAGGATGTGGACGACGGAGATCCGACTAGTTTCGAGCTGCTTACTGGTCCCCTTTACGAGTTGCCGGATGCTTTCTTCAAGAACGAGCGTGGGGCGGAGTTGTGGGAGGAAATGTTGTGGAGCGGCGGCGACGTGAACCTTAATGGCGAGCCTTGGTGCGATATAGAGGAGGGGGACGATGGTTTCCGTTCAACGCCGTTGCTAAACCCCAACGGCAAGGAGCGCGATGAGAAGATCACATGCCACGTAGGCCGGACCATGATGGACAAACCGTCCGACAATCCCAACAAGGTCAGTATCCATTACCAGCGGGGCAAGAAGAAGTTCCCGCTGCGCATCCCACTGGGCTACTACAAGTTGGCCGTCCTCAGTGACGAAAGCGCACATGGCCGCCACATGTGCCCGTACATCATGGACCAGACCGGGCAGTGCATGTTGGTGAGCTTGGACGTGTTACTCAAAATAGGCCACCTCGATTTGGAAGATTCGGAGCTTGCCAGCGAGGGTGGGTTGGACATCCAGCCCACAGACTCTGATCACGAGTACTCCGCCGAGGTGGATTTCGACTTCTGCTTCCGCAAGGGCGGCACGATCGACAAGAAGAAGCTCTGCGGCGACGCCAGCACCAAGAGCAGTATCACGGTGTCGACAATGGACAGCTACTGGCGGGCGCGCGAGGAGGCGTCGCGCTAACGGCGCGGGCGTGGCAGCGTCCGGAAGGAATACCATCAAATCTTTGAAGCCCAGGATTTGTCCCTTCCATAATCTTTCAAGTCGCGGAGTGCTTGTGGGTACGAGGGTCCCCATCAAGCCCGCGTTTTTTGTTCCCTTCTCGCATGTCGCAGGTCATGCACGGAGCAGCACCACTGAAAGTCGCAGCCGCCAAAATCAGACACGCTGTTCACGAAGGCAGGCGGAAGTCTCTTGAAGAGATCCGAGATTGTGAAGTTGCGTCCTTGCCCAAACCCCCTTCAGCCTGCGGGCAGTAGCCCCTGACCCAGACCGAGGGGAACCAAATGTGTACTCCGTGCGTCCACTCAAGTGCCAGCTTCCCCACAGAGGAAGAGAGCCCCACAATGCACAGCGCCAGCCTGTGGGGGGAGGAGGGTGACAAGGCGGCGAGAGAACAGGAGAGGAGAGCCGGCAGCAGCTTCTGTGCACCTGGTTGGGCGTCGCGTAACGAGGGTGGCGATACAATGGGGGGGGCGGCGAGGGCCGCAGAAGAGCCCTTTCGGGCCCGAAAAGTTCACCCTTTTTCCCCCGCCATTTGCCGCCCCACCCCGTCAAGCGACGCCCAACCTGGGCCCTTCGGGGTCGTCGTGGCGTCTTGCACTGCCGACCATCAGAGGAACGCCTTTCGATGCCAGGCTGCACGACTACGCAGCAGGAGGAGGAGGAGGAGGAGGAGGAGAAAGCAACGAGCAGACTTGCATATGTGCGTTCCTTGATTCAGCGGACGATGAACGACATGAGATAAACTTTTCCGCCGTCGGGGACGCGTGCCCCTGGGCGGCTGGAAAGTTTATCCGTAAGGGTTTCGCCCCCGTGCCGCCGGCCCCCCTCTGTTAGAATGGGACTTGCCAGAGCTGTGTTGGGATGTCTGGGCGCTGACGCGAAGCAACGCCGGGACTTCACTCGAGGGCCGATATTGATTCACGATGGCTTATGGTTTCGGTGGCGCGAATATCGAATAATGTATTATGGTTGTTCGCTCCGGTGACGCGAATATTGCGTAAGTTACAGGGTTTGTGGCCTCGGGAACGCAAGCATCGTATAATTTACCATAGTATATGGTCTCGGGGGCGCAAATATTGTACAATTTGCCAGGTCTTGTGGCCTCGGGGACGCAAGCGTTGTATTATTTACAAGGGCGTATGGCCCTGGGGACGCGAAAATTGCATGATATTCAAAGGCTCATGGCTTCGGGGGCGCGAATATTCTGTACTTTTCGGGGGCGCGAGTATATCATAATTTACGAAGTGTATATGGCTTCGGGGAGGCGGGCATTGCTTCATTTACAAGGGCGCATGGCTTCGGGGACGTGAACATTGCATCTTTTACAATAGGGTTTATGGCTTCTGGGACGCAAGCATCGTGTACTTTACTATGGTGAATGGCCTCGGGATGTGAATTTGGTGTACTGCACGATGGTCATGGTCTCGGGCCCGCACATATCGTATAATCTACGACGGGCTATGGTTTCGGGAACGCAGATAGTGTCTAACGACGGTTTATGGCAACGGGGGCTCGATTATTGCATATTTTCCTCGGGTTGATGGCTTCGGGGACGCAGATACTGTATAAGTTGTAAAAGGTTATCGTGCCGGGGGCGCGAGTAGTATGTAATTTGCAATGTTTTACGGCTTCGGGGACGCAAATCTTTAGTAATTGGTCGAAGGGTGTATGGCTTCGGGGGCGCGAGCATTAAACACTTGACGAAGGTGTATGGCTTCGGGGAGGCGGGCATTGCGTAACTTACACAGGATTGTGGCTGCGGGGGCGCGAATATTGTGCAATGTACGGGGGCGTCTGGCTTCGGGAGCGCGAATATAATGTAATTCACACAAGTTGATGGCTTCGGGGACGCGAGTATGGCGTAATTCACTAGGGATAACGGATCCGGGGAAACGAATGTTGTATAATTTACCAGGGTGTATGGCCTCGGGGATGCTCATATTTTATAATTTTCGAAAGCGTATGGCTTCGGGAACGCGAGCATTGCATAATTTGCTCGGGTTGATGGATTTACAAATCGCAAATCGTTTGCAACTTACACATGGATTTTTGGCTTCGCGGGCGCGAATATTGTGTAATGTACGAAGGGCGTATGGTTTCGGGAGCGCGAGTATGATGTAATTTGCAAAGTTTGACGGCTTCGGGGTCGCGAAAATTACGTAATTTACTAGGGGCAATGGCTTCGGGGAAGCGAACATTGTATAATTCACTACGGTTTATGGCCCCGGGGACGCAACATCGTGCAAATTACTACGGGTTATGGTTTCGGGACGCGAATATGGTGTAATTTACATGGGTTCGTGGCCTCGGGCGCGCAAATATTATGTGTTTTACGACGGTGTATGTTTTCGGAAACCCAACTATTGCATAATTTACGAGGGGGTATGGTTCCGGGGGCGCGAACCGCATATTTTTACTTGTCCGACGACCCCCCAGGAATTGAGAGCACGCGACTCGGGGGTGCTAGTCAGGACGCTTTATTCGGCTCCCCACATCGCGCGCTCAGCAACTACTATCAAGAAGGAAACAGACAGCAGGCCTGTAACAGCGGAAACTGGAACTGCAGCTGGGACACGGAGCTACAATCCTCATTTTCGCAGCCTGATGGCCCCGCAAGGGGGCCGGCGGATACCCCTGCGGCGCCACCGTAAGGGTACAGACTTTCCAGCCGCCCAGGGACAGGCGCCCCCGACAGCGAAAAACATGTTTGTATACCGTTATCGCATGTACCACGAGTGCCCATGGCTGCCCATGGTTCCCGGGGTTTGTCCGTGCCCCTTCGGCCTCCTGTCCACCCGCATCGCGTGCACCGAGGCGGCCTGGCTGCCCTCTTCTCCTGCGCGCTCACGTACCCGCTGGACTCCATCAAGGCGCCCAGACGCCCGCAGTGCGTCGCCGGGGGGGGGAGGCTCGCGCGCAGCGTTCCCCATGAAGGAAGCAGGCCCTGATAGAAGTTGTCGTCGTCGTCGTCGTGAACGTAGTCGTCGTCGTCGTCGTCGTCGTCGTCGTCGTCGTCGTCGTCGTCGTCGTCGTCGTCGTCGTGAACGTCACGAACGCCACGAACTCCGTAACGTGTTGTTTCACCACGTTGCTCTGGGCCCTCCGCGGGCCGAGGGACTGTCAAGCACGACTCGGAGCCAGAAGCTGGCCCCGAGGAAGGCCGGCCGGGGTCCAGTACATTGGACACCCATGGCAAGAAACACCCTGCTTGCCTCCAGGGTGCCCTGGGTTTCTTGGGTTTCGATGGTTCTGTTATGGAAAACGTGACGTTCGCACACCTAAAATCCATATACGTCCTGGGGTCTCAGTGCTGGGTTTCTTGCGGAAGGTTTCTTATGGACTGGTTTCCATTGTGCTAGTCTTCTTCATGCCAGAGCATTCGGGCCTCCAGCGAGCACCCCTCCGTTGTCTCGCCCTGGCCTCTCCCCTGCCCTTCCTCCCCAGGGAGGGTGGGGAGGGGGGAGGGGTCGTTCCGAGGCCAGCTGTGGTACCCGACGCGCCCAGAACACTGGCATCCCGAAGGTGCCCCTGGCGCGAAATTTTCTGCGGGAGCTTGGAGGGGGGCAGCGCACTTAACCCCAGGAGGTTTTGAGTTTTGAAGCCCCCTCCGTTTTCTCTCGACGGGGGATAAACTCCGCCCCGCCTCCTCTTCCTCCTCTTGCTCTTAGTCGGCGCTGGAGGTTCAGGCACTTTGAGATCCGACGGAGAGAAGAATTGCTGAAACTCTCTCACACGACGACCGCCCAGCAATCGCACGGGTCAGAGAGGGAGTTAGGGGGCATGGCAGACGGATGGCGGTTGCAATGCTGTCGATATGTGCATTGATGAGACTGGTTTCTACAATCCGCTGGCGGCGAAAACCACGGACAGGCTAGAAGAAATTACCAATGCACTACGAGAGTGGGATGCTATTGTGTTGACAGGGACACAACCGTGGGTTGATCCAGAGCCTATGAAGAAGACGGGTCGTAGATATCATACGACACTTCAGTTCGGGGCAAAAAAGGAGATGGATCAACAGGTCATGTGGTACGACGTTTCTGGTGCCCGACGAGATGATGAAAGACAAAGACTTCCATACGCAATGCATACCACCTGCACGACTGCAAGGAGGAACGGCAGGGGTTAGGCTGCGCACGAAAGCATACGACGTCACAATCTTCGCGACGTACTTGCCGCCAGATAGACGGAACGCAAACATTGGGATGATCTCAAACAACTTAAACGTGGGTGGAAGAGAAGTATGACGACACGGGTGGCAGATTTACTATCATAGTGAGAGGGGGCATCAACCGCCAATTGGGAATGCATACGTCAGACAGCAGGGATCCGGTGGTAAGCAGGCACAGTTCGGGCAAACACGCAGCAGCATCGGGACCAGTTGCCAAGGAGGTGGAGAACGATAGTGGAACAGCTTTCAGGAAGTGTTGTGTCCGCTGCTTATTGTCAGTTGTCACGACTGTCATCGATTGTGGGCCACTGTACATCTGCCCAAAAAACGAGAAGATGAGGACGAGCAAGATAGACCACATAGCGACACCACCGGGGGCTCTACCTCATGCGCGGAGGCGCGCTGCATTGAGAGGAGTGGCGAAGAACTCAGAACAGAGACTACATCCTGATAGGCGTGGATATTGGATTGGAACATCAGTTGCATTTTTCCTGGGCAAGCGCCGACAGCAAAGAGCAGACAAGGAAGTGGACCGCGACATGCTTATGGAGTGCCTGCGGACAGGGCGCCGGAGGGCGGAATTTCTGACCGCGTTCGACCGCCGCCTGCAGGTCGCCCAGCCACGGCAGCCAGGAGGAGCATTGGCGAGGTTCTTTCGGAGTGCGACCCAGGCTGGTCCCTCGGTATTCCGAGGGGATACTTTAGCGAGGTGATTTCGGAGTGCAGCCCAGGAGGAACTTGCCGAGCTCACCGGAAAAGCATTAGCGAGGTTTTCTCGGAGTGCAACCCAGAGGGAGCTAACGGCAGACGAAGAATGAAGAGAGCTCCAGGAACGCCCCGCGGCGGACCACGCGCGGAAGAAATGGGACGGGGCGGGCAGAAATGCCAGAAAAGAAGTATTCCCAATCGAGAAGAAGCAGAAGGACAAGGGGGTGGCCGCTTTCAGTTGCTGCGACATTCTTTACCGGCAGAAAGAATGAAGTCATGCGTAGACCTGTCGGGTGTAGCCAGGGCCCCGGGCAAGGGGGCCCGGTTAGTGGTAGGGCCCTGGGGCCCTTCAATTGGTCAGGTTCAGCATATCAGGTTTGCCGTAACTGGTGTTTTTCGGGCGACGGCAGCTCCGGTCAGTGGAAATGGGACGGGGGGGCGCCCCCGGTACAAATCGCTAAACCAGGTTCCACTAAAGCCAGTTCTGCCAACTCCCGAACCTGGTAGAGGCTGACGCGCAGGAGAGACTGGAGAAGGTCAAGGTGGACCTGGCGCAGATGCAAAATTTGCCACGCAGGCGCAGGACAGACTTGGAAAAGGCAACAACAAAGTAACTGACAGAAGAGATATGGAATGCATGCGAGAACAGCAACCTCAGCGAGATGCACAGGCTCAGGGTGGAGCACAAGAGAAGGGGGGGGACCGAAACAGAGGTGCTAATCCTCAGCGCGGACATGGTGGAGCACAGAGGAATGGCTCAAAGAACTGGGCAAACACCCCAGCGATTGGGGGCTGGCAGCAGAACCGATGGACTTGGAGGAGCACGAGAAGGAACATGACGAGATGCTAGCAGAGAACCATGCCACCCCCATTTGATATGGAGCTGAAAGCCCAAGTTGAAAAGGACGAGAGACACGCTGAAGTACTGCAGGAAAGCGGCAGCGAGGAGGGCCCCCCCCCCCCCCCGTGGCGAGCACCAGTGGAATTGACATGGATGCCATTGGAACACACAGTCAACCTGGAAGACCCTGAGCAGCTGAGCAAGAAGCTGGAAGGGGCAGAAAGCACGGGCGGCGGAGAAGAGAGATGACGGGGAGGACTTGGGCGCACGCAGCACACTCTACAAGTGCAGGGCGGGCAGGCCAATTTTACAGAAAATGGGTTGGATATCGGGCAGGGCGCTGGGCATGACCGACAGAGATGACGACGGCGGAGCACTGCGGGCGACCGAGAAACAAGCGCGCCACCTGGGGGGCACAAGAAAGCTGGGCTGGGATTGACGGCGTTGGAGACAGACGCGAGCATGGGGCGCATGAGCAAGCTGGAGGGCGCTCTCGTTCAGCCTCGCCATTCTCAAGATACACCATTCGATTCGCACATGTAGAAATCTTTCTTCGCAGCAACAAAACATAGAACAAAGAGGGCTTGGGGAAAAAGGAGTCACGCGCGCATGCTGCGCAATGGGAACGGCTTTCCATAGAGGCACCCATCGCAGAGGAACAACGCCGCAGCGCCCATGCTGGGCGCAGGGGGGGGGGGGGGGCAACATAGATCGAGTGAGAACGCGACTACCTGCGTCGAAGCTACGCCATGGCGAGCGAGGCAGGCAGGGGCGAGCACCATCGCCAGCAATTGCGACTGCACAAAAGCCTTCGCGAGCACGACGCGCAACCTGCAGCTGGCATCAGTCTGCGCCGCGCCGAAAGAGGGGGGCCTACAATTCGTTGTCGAGGCGATGTTCTACGCATCAATGGAATGCGCAGACGACTGGCTGCGCGCAAGGACTCCGCGGGGCGCGCAGATCGTTTTCACCTCGTGCGCGCGGCAGTTAAATGACGCGCACAACCTCTACATGCGTGGGGCAATGGCACCAGGAAGAATGGGGGTGGGGCGGGATGCAGACAGCACGTGATACAGTGGCACAGTGGGCCCAGTCAACGAACCTGAGCACGACCTCCCGCTCAACGCGTTCATGGACGACGTCCTCGGGATCCACGCAGTGGCCTCGTCGGGTCCGACCCCGCAGGCGACTGGAGTTAGCGAGGTAATCTCGGAGCGCCGGACGGCGATTGGCGAAAGCGAGAATTTCACGGTTCACCCTGGTGCTCAGCACCAATCGGCTCGCGGCGAAAGCGAGGAGTTCTCGGATCGCCCAGGAGCCCACGCGAGAAGGATTGCAGCGCAGATCAATGCCACCACGCAGCGCCTAGAGCGCAAGCTGGAGAGAGGAGGGCGGCGCTTGAACCCAGCCAAAACTAGCCGCCTGGCCCCCCTTCGAGGCCCGAGGCGAGACGGGGCCGCGCGACAGCTACAGAGAGAGAGAGAGAGAGAGAGAAAAAAAAAAAAAAAACAAAAAAAAAAACAACCCCCCCCCCAAAAAAAAAAAAAAAAAAGATCAAGGGCACGCCGATGAAGAAGATGAGGGCGCTGGGTCCACACTCGCCATGAGACCCAGGCTACGCGGGAGAGATCAGGAGGAGGTGTGCGGCCGCGCAGATTGCTTACAGACAATGCGGACGCCGCTGGTCTTCTGGTATCATGTGGGGGCAGGCCTTAGTTGATCGGTGGCACTTGTGCTGGAGGCTCCTCGCTTGAAAGCACTCGTCAGTGCGATGGCGGTGCGTTCGAGAAGAATGGCAGGGGGCAGGATGAGCTGGATAGAAGCAGATGGCGCGACCAGGTGCTACGCCAACAATAAGGCACTCAGGAGATGGAGGATACGGCGCTGCTCCACAGCGCCAAGGACACGCAGGCTACGGCGGCGCAGACAAAAGGCGAAATACCCAGAGGAGTGTGGCAGCGTGTAGGCGGCAGCTCTTGGCGCGTCGAAGCTGGACAGCCTCTGTGAAGTCAGGAGTATGAAGAATGGGTGGGCACGCGGAGCATCTACACCTTGGGCAGTGCAGGTGGTCTGGGTTTTCCAGGCGTTGGCGGAGGTCAGCGAGGGCGTCGGCAGTCGGTGCCCGCGGAGGCAATGAGACATCCCGATGT